GAGGAGAGACAACGCATTCTTTTCCTCCAATCTTATTTTTCACTTCTTTGCTTCATGCTCTATTTGTCTTTAAAACCTTTGCAATAATGAGCAAACAAACAATGTAGCCAATCAAAAAAAAGAGAACAGGGATATCTTAATTAATGAATTGAACACATTAACATTACCTCACTTTCAGAAAGATTTTTATATTGAGGCAGGATTAGCCGCTCAGCAAACTCAATGTAAGAACAGGGAACAGACTCTGTGACACCATCAGAGAAACAGAAAGGAGTCGAATCTGCTACAGTTGAGCTTTGCAACAGAAGGCCATCAGGACTCACTGATAAAGAAATGAGATCATTAAATTGTGAACTTCATTTTCAGAAAGAAAAACAATGGGAGATAAAATATTCATTTTGACATGACAACTAGTACCAACAACAAAGTGCAGAATTAATCACATACTGCTTCTTAACCCAAAAAATGAAAATAATAGATCAATGGAAATTCTGCAAGGGAATTCCTGTCAACACCAGAAGCATCATGATAATGCCAAAGGGAAAAAGAGTGGATACAACATAAAAAAATTGATGTATCAAACGTAGTTGATGAATCCGACATATACAAAATTGAATTTTCTAAATAATTTTCAATCTTGGAGAAAAATTCAGTAAAGCTCCTGAAAGACAGAATAACCATCTAGATCTGCCAAGAGAATACTCATTCAAAAGCTTGTCAAACATGAACAGTGAAAATTGTATTTAACCTGTAAATTTCTGACTAAATGCACACATCTATGTGAGGAAACACGCATGCATGCAAACACACACACACACACACACACACACATATTCTGTGATTGAATATTAACATTAGAAACCAGATAGAGAAGACACAAACATAATCATAGAGGACCAGAAGAACCCTAAAGAACTAGGGAAAGCTGAAAGCTTTTTAAAAATTTCATTAGTTTCTATGTCTAATCATCTGAGCAGTATTTGTGTTTCTATGGCGACTTATACTCAAGCAAACCAAAAAGGAGGCTGAAGTAACATGGCTATGTTTCCAGTTCAAGATATAAAATCTCTTCCTTGTGACAGTAAATGAAATGCAGACACTCATCTTCCACTCAGGTAGAAGTTTGAAACAAATGACGTTGAGACTCAACAGAGTAATAGTGGTAAGGGATGAGATGCCACCAGAACCAAGTGGTAGCTGGTTCTTCCTAAAACATGTTGCTATGTGGCTCTGGATTTAACATTAAAGAATGTAGCTTTGTTTTGATGCAGGGCACAAGAATGGTTCAGAATTGAGGAAAAACCAGAACACCATGTATATCTCAATCAAATTAAATTTCTATGCATCCAAGAGCTAACATTTTATAATTTGAGATACCTGTTTTGAAGAGTGTTTAGCATACTCTTTTTTTTTTAGTTATTACTTGCCCATTCACATCAAGTTTAACCGATGAAAAGTTGCAGTTGTCTTCTAATTAGTTTACCAATATTTGAAAAATATTTGTTCTGTCTTTATTTTAAACCTAATGTAGAAAAAGTGGAAGGGGGCGGCAGAGGAATGAAAGATACACAGAATGGTTCTTAGAACCATTATAGGTAAGTGAACTGGTATGAACTTAGAATTTTTCCAAACAAGATATATGGAACCTCAACATAGAATGTCATTTTGGAAGCAAAATCTGGAAAAATAAAACAGTGCAATAAGTTCAAAAGTATCAAACCTTTCAGAATTCCCCCTTCAGAATTCAACTTGAATCCATTCTTTTCAACAAACTGATTGAGGTTTTTGATATCTCTCAAGTTGGATTTCAGTTGATGAGTAGAGATAGTGAGATGATTCAATGCATACCCATTGACAAGGGTCCAGGCAGCATA